AGCCTCGATACCCGGAGTGTGCACAGGCTTCGACAAGACACTGTCAAAGCGGTAGTCGCGATGATGACGGCTACAAGACAATTGCTAGACCCCAAGCCCTAAGACCCTAAACCCGAAACCCTAAACGACAGTAGAGATCTCCACCGTGGACCCGAAGCTTGCCTTACGGACCAACCGACCCTAAAGCAAGTATGGGCTCGACATGTTGTGGTATAAAGTGTGGCATGGGCCATCCACCCTTAGGCAAAGGGATCCCCAGGGTAAAAGCGTGGGTATCCCAGCACGATTCATCCTTATCTCACGTTCCAACTTTCTGCCCTTCCGTGTTGAAAGTCGGCGCAGTCGGCGCGCACACACACACACAACCCAAACCTAAATCCTGAAGCCCAAACCCTAAACCCTAAACCCGAAACCCTAAATGCTCAAGCCCAACCCTCGAGCCTAGACTCTGAAGCCTAGACCCGAAACCTTATACCCTAAACCCTACACCCCTACCCTATACCCTAAACCCTAAACCTGAAAGCCTAAACCCTGCAAGAAGTGAGGCAGGATGTTTGGGCCAGCTTGCTCAGCCGCGGGCTCAGTGCTTATCACAAAAGGCGTCGCTAAAGCAGGTGATGGTAGCTGAGGGCAAGGTTCATAGAGAGGCCTAAGTACTTATATTATTATTCTTCAGGGTTCCCTTGTAGAGTTATACGATAAAGGAGCCCACGACCCTATTCTAACCATTATGGCCCCTACATTACGTTGGATTGGGGCTTCAGGGCTCAGGGCTCAGGGTCTAAAGCAGATGATCTTAGTAGTAGTAGTAGTAGTAGTAGTAGTAGTAGTCGTAGTAGTCGTAGTAGTCGTAGTAGTCGTAGTAGTCGTAGTAGTAGTAGTCGTCGTCGTCGTCGTAGTAGTAGTAGTAGTAGTAGTAGTGGTGGTAGTAGTAGTAGTAGTAGTAGTGGTAGTAGTAGTAGTAGTAGTAGTAGTAGTAGGAGCATTCCAATGCTCTCCCTGTCAAAAACCAGCAACATTCCACTCAGTGTCCAAGCAAAACTAATTAGCTCCAAATCTTGAACCCAAGACCTTTAACCCGAACCCCCCTCGAGTAACAGGGCCAGAAAACACCTTTCCCTCAAACACCCAAACCCGGAACCCCAAAGCCAAAACCCTGAGCCCGTAAGGGAACCCTTTAAAGGAACCCGTAGAGATCCCTCAAAGGGAACCCTCAGGGGAACCCTCTAAAGGGCCCCTTGGTCTCGAGGAGCATGAGCCCTACCTTCCGCCAAAAACCCCAAGGCCCGAAGCCAAGCAGTCTAAACTCCAAGGGTTTAGGGTTGAGGGGTTTAGGGTTTAGGATTAAGAGTTTAGGGTTTAGGGGTTTAGGGTTTAGGGGTTTAGGGCGGGTTTAGGCCTAAACCCTGGCACCGCCAAAGGCAATAGATACCCAAGAATATATAGGGCCTTCATATTTAGAACAGATCCTTGGGGAAATGTTATGCTATAATTACAATAAGGAACCGCAAAATAGTGTTGGTATTTTATTTAGGCCCCTATAGTGTACTAGACGCCGAGGCAAGCCGCAGAAGGGTCAGATGTCTCGCAAGCTGCCTTGGCGAGTTTCTTTGGTTTAGGCGAGGTTTGGCTTCGGAGAGGCAGTCAAAACCAAAATCCTGGTCTTTTGGGCTTAAGGTTCAGGGTTTAGGATTTAGACTAAACCCTAAAAGCCCTAAGCCCTACACCCTAAACCCTAAACCCTAAACCCTGAAAGCCCTAAGCTCTACACCCAAAACCCTAAACCGTGGGGATTCTCCTCTTTCTTCCAAAGGGCAGCCATAGAGTCGTCCTCCTGCGCCATTTGGGTTTAGGGTTTAGGGTTTTTAGGCTTTCAGGTTTGGGGTTTAGGGTTTAGGGGTTTAGGGGTTTAGGGTTTAGGGTTTAGGGTTTAGGGGTTTAGGGTTTAGGGTTTAGGGTTTAGGCTTTCAGGTTTTGGGTCTAGGGTTTAGTGTAGGGGCTCAATTTAGGGTTGAGGGTTTGGGGTTTAGGGTTTAGGATATAGGGAATACTATCCTATTACAATATTGAATACAATGACCATGTCACCCGTCGGTTTTAGTTTACAGGGCAAGTATTTCGACAGCCGTAGGTTCCTAACATGTGCGTGTGTGTGGGTGTGGGGTAGCAAACCACTTAAAGCCCTTAGCAGTATGCAGGGTGCCCTTGTTCTATTTATCTGTTTCAGTATTGGTTTCTTATGTATCGGTTCAGCGTTTATGGTTCAGGGTTTAGGGTTGAAGGCTTCCGGTGAAGGGTTTGGCCAGGTTTAGTAGACCCTGTTTGGGTTGTAGGGCCATAATTGAGAAGAAGACCTCATATAGTTATAGGCGCCACTTAAAAATTACTTATACTATTATGGGAGCTCCTTATTATAAGTATAGTATATATTGAGGCCCCTACATTAGCGTGTCGCTGCAACAGCTGGGCTTTTCGCGAGACCCGGTAGCCCTAAACCCTGAACCCCAAACTCTAAACCCCTAAACC